ATGAGATGAAATTAGAGTCTAACGAGGAGGAATTAATTGAGAGATGTGGATTCCCCCTATAATTTTATCTTTGAAGGGCAATTTATTACTCGTGGAAGAAATTCAATAGAGCATATAAATGGAAATGCAATCTACCAACACATGATAATGTTTAACATTTTTAAGCAAAGGAATTAGAGCTCTCAAAGGAGGAGATTGAGAGTGAGTTTCCCCACTCCCCCAAGGAGGATATTTATACTTGAAAAAGAGAGAAGTAGCTTTTGGGATAATTTGTTGAATTTTAAGGATTTCTTTGCAATTTTTTAATAATTTTTCAGAGTTTTAGGCTTCATTTGGGACAGCTTTTTTGTTGTTTTCTAAAACAGCTTTCTATTACAAAAATTTTTTGAATTAAAAAATTTTATACTAGAAAGTCGTTTTAGTAAAGCTGATCTAAACGAAGCCTTAGTGACTTCATTTAATTAATTTTTTAAAATTTTTAATAAGAATTAAAAAAAATAAAAAGCTAAATGAAATTAAAATTGCCCACCTTATGGGACCATCAAATGCATTTTACTCAGGTCAGTAGTAAGTGTCATAGCCACCAATAAGCCTAACCTTGTTTGGGCCCAACTTTGGATCAAACAAGCCTATTTTAACATTTTTAGAACAATTTTAACTTTTTTATGCTCTTGAGAATATTCTTTCATTTCTTTGATGTTCTGAATTCAATTTTAGCCCATTTGAAGCTCAACAGAGCTTCTATAGTCAAATCCAGCCAAATTCAGAGAGTTTGGTGCAAAAATTAGTTTTCTAGCACAATTTAAAAAAAAAAAACAACGAAAAAATAGTATTTTAAAAGATGTCCCAAATGAAGCTTTAGACTAAGCCTTCATTTAGAATAACTTTTTTATTGTTTCTCAAAGTAGTTTTCTAATACAAAGATTTTAATTTTTTACTATAAAGCTGCTTAAAAATCAATAAGAAAGCCGTCTAAGGCTTCGTTTGGAACAGTTTTTTATTGCTTTTTAAAGTAGTTTTTCAGTACAAAAACTTTTAATTTTAATTTTTTTACTACAAAATTGCTTCATAAGATAGCAATAAAGTTATCCTAAACCAAGCCTAAATTCCTTTATAATTAGATCATATAGATATGTGTCCTTATTCATGGGTTGCCTTTTCTTTCAGAACTTACAGTGCTTTTTAAAGTAGTTTTTCAGTACAAAAACTTTTAATTTTAATTTTTTTACTACAAAATTGCTTCATAAGATAGCAATAAAGTTATCCTAAACCAAGCCTAAATTCCTTTATAATTAGATCATATAGATATGTGTCCTTATTCATGGGTTGCCTTTTCTTTCAGAACTTACAGTTGCAAACCTAAAACAAAATTCTTTTATGTTCTTTTTCCAGGGGCAAAAAGGTTATTTTGTGGAGAATTTGTGGTAATTCTTAGGTTCATTTGCTTCTTTGTCACCCCTTATCTATCATTTCTTTGTCAATTTCAGGTCACGGGTCGGGTTCGGGTCGAACTCGAACTGACCCGGGTGCAAAACGGGTGGACCCTAACCTGAGCCGGGAAGAGAACGGGTCGAAAATCCGAACCCAGACCCTACCCGGCAGGTTGCCGGGTTGTCCCGACCCGACACGGAACCCGGGGGCGAAGCGGGTGCGCGTGGGGTGCGGGCGAAGCGGGCGAGCGGGCCAGCGAAGCAGGTGCGCCGGCGGGTGCGCGCGGGCGAGGTCAGCGGGGTTAGCTTCGCGGGGAGGTC